TGCTAGAGTTTGGACTAAAGCCAGGAAAGACGCCCATATTTGGAAGTTACTTGTTGAGGGGAACAGATTTGTCCCATTAAACTGCGAATTCACTTTGTTGTACTAACAGTTATACGTTTTTATTGTGTAAATGCTCGATAGCATTCACACCGATGAAATMATCCATTTTCCTTTAAGTTTTTTGGCATCTAACTTTTCAACAATTCATATATCAAAACATCCAGCTCATTTATGCCGTATGTGCTTTTGGTATTTCAGCAACTTATACTTTTTCAACTACCTAGCTTCCTCTGTCAATTTTTTTCCTCATTGAAAATAAATGGAGCCACAAACCCTTCAAAATGTTTATAATTCTTTACTGCACTTTTRACATTTAGTTCTGGTTCTGTTTTTTTCCCATCAAATTCAGCTTCCTTCAATTTCTTTTTTAAGAAATGTTAGCTTTATTCTGCTTTTTCAGCTATCCTTCTGCTCCTTTCAGGAGCTTCTTTCTGTTAATTTATGCTTTTTATGCTTCTGTCTGACTTCTGCTAGTTGTAGCTGTTTTTTCCTTTTTTAGCTACTTGTAGCCATTTTCAGCTAATTGCAGCTTTCTTCATCTAAATTCACATTAATTTCATCTTCTTACTTTTTAATTCAAACAACACTCTTTTTGTGTCTTTGTGCTAATTTCAGCTTTTTAAGCTCCATTTTAGCTAATTTTCTGCTAATTTTAGCATGTTTTGCTTCTTTAGCAGCTTTGGGGGAAAATGACATTAGCCATTCACACAATATTTTGTAGGAAATGCAAATTRTCTATTTTTTTAAAATAAAACAAACACCATCCCAACTTAAAAGTCTCACATTTTTTGAAGGGATGAATATTGCCCATTACCTTTTTAGCTTTAAACTGAAAACACCGTAAATGGGATCAAGTTTTAGCCATTTTTATTAAACCTTATAATAAATTTATGTGCAATCTTAAGTTATACTGTGAGATCTCACAAGATGTGTAGCTCTATTAAATGTGTTGGGTATGATTCAGCTAAATTAAAGGTTAGTTCAAAATCTGTAAGACTGATAAGAGTTATAGCCATTTTTGTTTGCTGAAGTAGACTAGCTGTTTTTCTGCTATGTGGCCACAACATAAACGTGTTTTCTGTGCRATGTTCACTTTTAATGTTACCATTTGGCACTGAATTGATTTGAATGAATTTGGATTTTTGGAACTCTTCACTGGAAACATCTGCCTGGTTCAGAACTTCTAACAAACCAGACTTAACTTGTTAAGAGAGAATGATGTGGGTGAAACCAGACCATGTGGCTCTGTTTGACAGGAACAGGATAATTGTAGTTGCTCATTTATCAAAGGTGATTTGCTGAAAGCAAGTTCATTCCCAGCAGATGGGACCATGTGTTGAATAAAAGGGCTCCAAGCGAACAAATATATATTTTTTGAACAGCTCATTGGTATTGCTTCCTTTGCCGCTAAATAAAGCACAAAAAGGCAATTTAGCCGAGTCCCATTAGTAAACCTGTGCTCACACACTGAGTCATAGGGAAAGTAGCTTCTCATCTGCTAGCCCCTTCAGCACACCATTTTTCTTGTGTAGATCGGAATGTTTTTGTTTACTCTCCACCTTCTGCTCTCCAAGAATTCCAAAAGTCTGTCTCCGTATATCCCATCTGTCCATATGACTTGTCTCTCTTTGCCGAGCAAAGACAGCCCCCACACCCCACCCAACACACACACAACATGCTCGTTGGCACAGCCTCACTCTTTCTGCACAGTCAATCTGAACCCTGAGCCGTTTGTCGCTGCCATCAGGAACTAAAACGTGCAGCTGGCTAGTGGGTTTGTGACAGAGATAAATGGCAAAAATCCCATCCTGACTGGCAATAGCTGTTTATGGGATCAAATTAAAGACAAAATCTGGTGTCTTTTATTTCAGGAAATAAGGATTTATTGTCTCTGCTGTCGTTTAACATAAACACCTCTTTTTTCCTTGTCAAGAATCACACAAATACGGAGCTGCAATTATTTCATGCACCGAAGGCTCGTTATTTTTACAGCCTTAAACTTAGCACCGTTCACAGGCTCTCTATCACCATCTGTTCTGCTGTGACATGCTACTCGCCCAACTCGCATGCTGCACCATTCTGTAAATAGTCTGCGAATAAATCTCCTTCACGGGTGACACAGTTTTTCAAATCAGCCAAAGTTTTTTTTTTCCCATTTCTGTACGATGTGCAGGTTTTCATTCATCACTCTCACGTACTTCTGTGCCCAGAAAATGAGCACTCTTGATATTAGTAGCAAGGTCAAGACTAATGAACCASGGGTGCTATGGGTGGGAGTGGGGCAATAGCTTTTCCTATACCCTCCCACACACACAGGTTTGTTTTTCTATCCCCATGGAGATTGTGTATTGACTCCCATTCTTTTTTTTGGTAATTTTGTAGCTGACCTGGAAAAATAAATTATCCTTTAAGGTCCTACATTTCTTCTCAGGCCAAGAGTCAGTGACCTCTTTTGCTTACCTTAAAATGTCATGTTTTATGATTTTACTCTTTATCTTCTGCTTTCTCTCGGACAAAGTGTTTTAAGATCAGGACAACATCTGTTAGAAGTAATCATTCTTGTTGCTGTTTTATCAAACATCATTCTCTCCTTGGCCCAGCTTCAGCACCAAGAGAGATGTTTYTTGTCTGTCTGGATAATATTCTGTTTAAATGCATTTGAAACTGCCTCAGTGCACACATTTTGTACCACTGCTCTGTGTGACATGATGTGTGTCTTGCAAATTGCAATAAATCCTATTGACCATTTTCACGAAGTACTTTTTATTCTTGGATCTCGTGTTTCTGTCTAGGTAAAATAATGATTTCCATCACAATAGCCTAACCCTGACCATTTACCCTAAAATTAACCTCACACCTACCTGATCCTAAAACTAACCTAAACTCAATTCACATCTTGGTCATAAATCAAACCCCCAACCCGAAATTAGCATCCCTACCCGTGGGGACCGGGCATTGGTCCCCACGATGCACATTCAGTCTCCAAGAGGCTGTCTTTTTCTGGAAATTGGTTCCCACGATATAGCAAAATCATGCCCCCCCCTCCACACACACACACACACACACACACACACACACACACACACACACACACACACACACACACACACACAACACTTTCACGGTCATTTATGTTAACATAAAAAATGGACTGATTTTAATGAAAATCTCAGAAAGTAATCAATGTATTGTTTATATATATATATATATATATATATATATATGTGTGTCTCTAATTAATCTCAAAATGATTAAAAGCTCACTTTAGACAGAAAACATGTCCAGGATTAAATCTTTGTTGATAAACAATAATTAGAGCTGTACGATATATATTGCTTGAGCGTCGTCATCGCAGTGTACGTGTACGCAGTAGTTATGTTGAAGGAGGTAAATTAAATCAATGTGTTATTTAGGGACTAAACCACTACACCATGAGTCATTGAACTAAATAGTTGTGTACAGCTTTTATTTTTGACAGGTTGCTTCCTTTGACCGTGGGTGGGTTTGTGTCAAAAAAGGCTAAAACTTTTATTTTGTTTTGAAACATCTGGCACATTAAGGGCAACGTTTTTCAGAGGTGTTGTTGTTGAACTGTCGAATGAAGGAGGAAGACGACGAAGGCATTGACGAAAAAGTGGACAAAGACCAAATTTGCAGAGAACTGAAGGAAAAGAGATAAAACCCGATTAGCACAAATGCTAATGTTAAAGCGTGACAGAAACTAATAGACACAGAGGCAACATGTTAGGCAGTAAAACGCAATTTAAAATAACAAGAATGTCTCCAATACAGACAAAAACATACTTGTAACTTGCCCAAAAAAAAGAAGTAAGGCACGATGGCAGCAGATCTTAAAGTGTGACTCCATTTTTTTCTTAAATTTCCTGCAGCCCTAATAGAAATTATTAAAACCTTGACTTGTCAACAAGTATCCAAGAGTTGCAGCCTAGTATGGTACTACCACTAGTAACTACTCCCACACTGCAGTATTCTCCAAATAGTCAATATCTGACAGCAGCATTTAAAAAAATCTCCTAACATGTATGGCTTTTGGTCTTGGTGTGCCACCCCTAGAATTTCAGTGGCCTCCCCATTTGGCCCCCCTTTTAAAATTTTCTGGATGTGCCTCTGTCACAAATCAATTTCAGATCATTCATGCGCTCAAGTTGATAGAGAGATAAACCCTAACTCTTTAATGTCTTTCATCTAATTAAAACAACAAATAAATTAATTAAAAAACAAGCTCAACTCATGAATCTCAGCTCAGCAAATGGAGAACATTGTCTGAAACTGTGCACACATCAAGCCCCAAGAAACATGGGTATCATTATAGCTTTACCTGCCTAATTAGCAGGAAGATTCAAAGGAGTGAATTCACTTGACAAATAAAGTATGGGCCACTGGTTGCTTCTATCTGCCCAACAAAAATCCTCAACACAACAGCTCAATGTGCATAAAGAAGCAGTCAGRTTGTTCAGGGACAAACTGAACAATGATGCTGCATTATAACAACAAATCTTTCTCTCATTCTTCACTGACCTCTATGGGTTCTGAGTTCATTATAGGAAAATTACTCGTAATTTCTGTTTGATAAGTCACCTTCTATTTCCTGTGGAGTCATCAGATCAGTTTGAACAAGACAAGCAAGATGATAAAGTCAAGCAGATCACAAAATGTTTCGTTCTTTAGGTTTTAAAAGTGATTTTAAACTGATAGGGTTAAATTTAGAATATAATAAAATTTTGTTTTGTCAGGATTGCACAGAGAAAGTCCTTCACAGGTGACAAACTGTCTGCCCCTGAATCTTTTAGACTCAACAAAAAAACATAAACCAATAAAACTTGACTTTATATGACAAGAGTGTGTTAAAAACCTCAACAATAACTTGTAAACTCGCTTCTAAAAAGTGAAAAAAATCTGAGCACATTTTCCTTCATTACCTCTGTTTCCAGCTGCACCAGCTCCATTGTGGGCCATGGCTCCGCGATCTGTGCAAGAGGCATTTTGGCTGGGTTTGTAGTTTTCTTTTATATTTCTCACGCACTTTTCGGCTGCGCGAGTCAAGTCCCAAGTCCAAAAATCTTCCTGCTCAGGTCTCAAGTCCAAGACAAGTGGAGCAGATTTCTCAGCGCTCCCTTTGCGCTCAGAAGTGGAGGAAAAGGCGCATAAAGAGGCTCCAGCCAAGCAGCTTCACAAACAATCCTCTGATTTAATGTTGGGGTCGGTTGGCCTGCTTTATGGCTTTTCTTTTATTCTGTTGGGAATAAAATAATCCGGTGAGGAGAAGCGCAAGCTGCAGCAGTGTCCTTGCAGGTGAGAGCGCTTTGGCAGCTCAGGTTTGTGGCTTTGAAGAGGAGGAGGAGGGGGGAGAAGTGGGCAACTGTAATCCTTTAATTACCAGCAGCGCTGAGCAGGAGTCTAAAAGCCAGAATGAGGAGTTATCTGCGTCTCTCTGCAGTCGACGTCCTCTCGGGATTTCTGCGTCTTCCTGCGCTCCTGATTTTTTTTCCCCTCCCGGTGAGCGGTGCTGGGGGGAAAGACAGTTCCCTCGGTGTGCGCCAGCAGCTCCCCAACAGTCCGCGGCGCGCGCACAGACCTCGCTGTGACTCTGTAGTACGAGCAGACTCTCAGCTCGAGCTGTCATTGGCAGACTCCAACAAGATTTTTTTTTAATCCAGCCCACTTTTTTTTTTTTTTTTAAATCTTCCTTACTTGGTCCGCCCAGGTCCGATCGTGCCATCATCTGGTGGAGAGATGAACTGTAAATACGTCATAGGGCGCGTGATGCCATGAGCTCTGCAGCACAAACTCCATCAGATTTACACTTTAATAAATAAATTATGCAGATAAAAGCTTGGAAAGAAACTTGCAGTTATGTATTTTTCCCTGTACAATGATCACAAACAGCGCGCAAATCGACGCTTTTTTTTTTCATTCGGAGTGCAAATCGCCCGCTGCGTTTCATGCCAGAGATATGTCAGCTGTTGTCGTTTTGATCAAACGTGGAGAACACTCATTTTTTATCGCGAGAAGTCTCGTAGTCTCTTTTGTGAACGACTCTCAGCTACAACCACACCAAACTCTCATTCTCTGTTAAGCTGACTGAATTGGATTGGCGCCACAAGTTATTGAGATGAAGAGGTACATTCAATGATTATTTTCTGAAAGTTTCATTAAAATCCATCATGTGGTTCACAAGTTATTTTGCTAACAGACAGACAAAGTCGGCACCAAATAGCTGCCGACAAATATTAAAATAAAACTCTTTCAGAATCTGTTAGTGCTCAAGTTATATGTTGGGGTTCAGTCTCAGCTGCCATATTGAATTTTGTATCCTTATCTGAGAAATATAAGTTCCAGCTGTTATTGTGTTTTCTAACGTCAGTTGGCCATGACAGACATCTTTAATAAGTATGACTCCAAACATTAATCAGTTGTAGATTTATGTCCAAAGATCATTTCCTGAAAGTTTCATTAAAATCCATTGAGTGGTTCATGAGATATTTTGCTAACGGACACATAAGACAGGCAAACACATGACTGTCCGCCTTTCAGCTGTGGGTTTGACTTCATMAGGATATATTTAATACACATTGTGTTCAGACCCACATCATCCCTTCCTCTGAGTCTAAAAATGACACATTGTTGCACAAATTACATAACTTTTTCCATTACACAAGAACAATGATGTAAAGGAGACAAGTTGTGAGGATCCACCGGTGCAGAGGAAGTCGTGACTGGTGCGGTTCTGATCCGGAGCACTCTTTTCATTGACAATAGGTGATCTTCAGCGGCATCACGTCTCCGCTTCATTCACTGCAGACTGGATTATGCTCTTGGCTGTCTTTGGTTACCATTGGCAACTAGAGGCCATTCATCCGCCTTTCTTTCTGGGTCTGATAAATTTTTGATTCAGATTCAGATGAAGACAGCATCTCGTACGCTCAAAGATGTGGTGAACGGGAAGTGTCTTTTTGTTTTTTGGCGCCTGTGTTTTGATGGACGTGTCGTGTAAAAGTGTAAATGCAAACTGTTGATAGAGCCTGCCTGACCTCGTAGTGGCAGCTTTATCACGCTTATCTGGGAACATTTCCTTCATTGTGCTTGTTGCATCACATTCTGTGATTTCTGGACTCAAGCTGCTCTGCTTGTCTTTTCACAATCAAAGAATTCATTCCGACCTGAATGCCCACTCACAGGAAGCCACTGGAAGTCCGTTTTATTGGCCATCTTTATTCAGTTTCTTTGGCAGCTAAACTTTGAGCTCTACACACAGGGGCGCATATCACCAGTTTTAGACGAGGATCATCTTTTGTTGGGAAATCGTGAGAGTTGTAGCGATTTCAGTCAAACCTTAAAAATAACATTATGTCAATTTTATGAATCAATCAAATGCAATTTGGAGACGTCCAGTGATTCTTTTGTGCTAAAGTTAGCTGCAGTGGTTGATGAGGCATTTTGCTAACACTATATATCAGGGGTGCCCAAATATTTTCTCCGAGGGGGCCAAAATGAAAATCTATCGGGGGCTGCAGGCCAAATGCAGTAATATAATATAAGAAATACAAATACTTTTTAAAGTAAAAACCTTTATTTTTAACGATTAAGCTGTGCAATGGTCCTCTTTTGTTTTAGTCTGTGCACTTGGTGAAAGTCTGCTATATGCTCAAGTAGCAAAGGCTCATGGGACATTTCATAAATTGATAAAATATGAGTTTTTGTGGCCTTATAAAGTGTGCAAATCTACATGTGAGGTTAAATCTGCTCTAAATATTTCTTGTCATTTCATGTTTCATGTTTAATACTAATAAATCAAAGATAAAGTCAGCACCATGAATGAAAACTACCTTCACTACAGCTCTTTTATATAGTCATTTGACCAATGGAAATACTGTGTTTCTACATAGGATAACAGCTTACAACCTTGTAACTTTGGCAACTGTTGGTGGGCCAAATCAAATGGCTTGGCGGGCAAAATTTGGCCCGCGGGCCCCACTTTGGGCTCCTCTGCTATATATATAAACACCAAACACTATCGTCTTTGGTCTCAGCAGTGGAAGGATAATGAGTTCTGACCGTGAGCAAACACAATGCTGAAGTTACTGAAGTCACATCAGTCCTGATGAAAATTTTTACTTATCAGCTTGTCTTCATGATGAATGGAGAACTCTAATGTTCTCTGAAGCTGTGGTGGTGTTTATTCTTTTATTACTGTCCCCCTCATCTATCCTTTTATTTTTTTGTCTCTGTCCATTATGTACAGGCTGATAGCTGTTCTCTCCCCTGTCTCCTCCTCACCAAGGATACAGGCAGGATGATGGTGATTGTTTGTGACTCCAACTGCATGATGTGATGGATTCTGAGCTTTTAGCAGTGAGCCAACAATAAAAATATGTGACGTGATGAGGAATGAAAAGGGTCAGCCAGAACACAAAGACAAAAWTTAAAGGTTATCTAAAAATACAAGCCTATATAATAAATTAAGTTATCGCTAAGTGCTGAATTACTTGGATTATAAAATGCCAAAGAAGCAAAAACTGTTAAAGCTGAGCAAAACACWTGCTAAAAACTCAAAGGAACAATTTGTTAGCTGAAAGAAAAGTATCAAAACCCTAGATAAAAGTTAAGCATAGAAAAACATAGTTTAAAGATAAACATAGCACAACTAAATATAAGTAATTAAAAGTAAAGTAGGTAAAGTTGTATTTCTATAGCGCCTTTCACAGAAATAAATTCACAAGGTGCTGTACATTCAGGGAAGGGGGAGGGGCCAGTTAAGAAACACCCATTCAAGAAGACATACAAGACGAACATGGGGGAACAAGTGAAACCGGTCATGCAGKAAARACAGTTYCGCTACCTTAAATATGCATTAGCTCCAAGGTTACATTAGTAAGATACTAGCTAAAATCTAAATTACCAAACACTAACTAAAAATATGAAAACTATGGAAGCCAAGAGCGGACGTTTTCAGCTAATAATTATTTTCCTTGGTTTATGAAATAACGATGAGCATTTTCTCGAGATAACAAGTTAGTGTTTTCCTCTTTTGTATCATTTAGTAATCATGGAGATGATCTGGTCCCCTCAGCTCACCAATGAAGTTTACTATACATTATAT